AAGTTTGATTTTATATATTTTATATCAAGATTTCTGGTGTTAGCAATGAGAAATGCTTTGAGTAGAAACCGAGAATCCGTTCGGTAGAGAGCTAATTGTTAGAATTGCTTCAAATGATATCCTTTTCTTATAATGATCACCATGGCGAACATACAAAGGACTACATTTTGATGGCAGGAACCTGGACTGTCCAGAACCTTAATGTGGAAGTTGCCTCTGTCCGGCTGGTTGATGTGCTCAGGAAGGCGAAGGCTGACATCATCGCCATCCAAGAAACGCCAGATGACATGTAAACATGTGACTCCGCCGCCGACTACTTTCGTCCACACCGATAACGAATTTCTCGTCACAGTCGAGTAAATAATTTCAAATCGGCAAATCTTTTTTCAAAATCTGACTTTAAATCATGCAGTTTTACGACATAGTGGTCCAATTCATCCTCTTTGACATGTGTAATATTTTTTTTCTAGCCATGGAAAATGATGAATTATTCTTTTTTGAGATCATGTATAAAAAGATGTAGTTTACATCAAAACTTAAAATAATTTGCAACAAATCAAAAACAATTTTTATTCTTTCCTTGTAGAGACAAATTCAAGTTTGCAAATGTTCCATCATATCGGTTAAGAACATTAAGTCAGAAAGCCAATTTTCGTTCCCCAATTGCGGGTAATGTTCCGATCTCAATTTGCGCGCGTGTATATAAAAAGAATAAAATAAGATAAAACAACACAGTGTAAAAGAATGTCCAGCAAAGAAATATGTATTTTAAAAAGTAAAAAGGGCCAAAATGTTCTAAGCAAAGAGAAAGTATAAAGAGCCGCACTTTGCAAAGAAAAGGGCCGCATTTGACTCAAAAAGCCGCGTTTGCCCACCGTCGGCCTATTGCATCTTCAAAGCTGTCATCACAACAATGATATGTCCGGAGACTAAAACACTCCTCCCGAATTGGAACCGTCGCCCACCCTGGGACCACTAATCGCATTGCTTCAGGGGTGGCGTTCCATATTTCTCATTAACTAAAGCTCCCTCGGTGCACCTGCGTCCGTATTCCGCTTCTTGCCTCTAAGTACGTATTCTTCCAGTTAGTTTCGCTGTGTAGCATGGTTTGGATGACGTTATCTGGGTAAATTGGTCCCATCAGGTCTTGCAGATTATTGCACTCGGTTTCCCATTTTTTGCATCGGAAAAAAGTGTACTTGGAATCGTCTTCTTCATCGTTTTGCCATCTATCTTGCCATGGTCTTAGTGTTTAGTTTCTTACTCTTTCTCTTTCGTTGTCACTTGGGTTCGTTTGCGACTTAAGCTCCCAAGTTTTCCTGCGTTCGGCTGCTAGTAGATCAATGGGAGTCGTTCCGCTTATGACTAGTATTGCCTCGCCGGACACTGTGCGGTACACAGAGGCTACTCTTAAAGCTGCTGTGCGATGGGCTCTGGAAAGTATCATGCAACGGTTATTTTTCTGTTGGGTGTCAGCCCAGATCTCCGCTCCGTATAGCAAAATATTCAAGGTTGTGGACATTAGAAGTTTCATTTTACTTTGGGTCGGTCCACCAATATTGGCCATTAATCTGCTTAGTTAAGCCGTTTCCGTTGCTGCGTGCTGCATTTGTGCCCAATACGTTAGCCTGGGGTCTAACCTTACACCTAAGTACTTTATTACACTTTGCGTCTTTAATGTAATCGGTCCGGTCAGTTTCATGCTCACTTCTAAGGGAATATGCTTCTTGGTTAGGAGTATTAGCTCAGTTTTCCCGGCTGCGAGTTTAAGATCGTGTGAGTCGAGCCATGCCTGTGTTATTATCATAATCTGATTTAATTTGCAGCGAGAATCTTCGGTGTCTCGTGCGGTGATCACTGCGGCAATGTCATCAGCGTAGCCTACTAAATATGTGTCATCAGGCATCTGAAGGTTTAATATTCGTAGCTGACGTTCCATAGGTCTGGCCCAAGAAAGGAGCCTTGTGCCGCGCTCGACGTGATCATCATTTTCCGGGGTCTATCGGCGGTATGGTACAATAACTCCCGGCCTCCTAGTTAGCTCCTAACCATGAGTCTAAGGTACGCGGGTATGTTGCAGACTTCTTCTAGTGCGTGTGTCATATTTTCCCATTTTGTGGTGTTAAAGGCGTTGCGAACGTCTATTGTTGCATGCAGGACTAGCCTTTTGTGTTGGTATGCGGCTTCCACTGTTGTTATTACGTGTTTTATATTTAGCTCCAATTGTTGATCAACCGGATGTAAATCCTAACTGTCTTGAGGAACATCCGCCGCCGTTGGCGACAGCCGCTTCTGTTCTAAGTTTTAGCAGCTTTTCTAAGAGTTGTACAGCTGTGTCCAGCATACAGAGTGGTCGATACCCTGATGGTGAGTCAAGGTTTCCTTTTCCTTTGCTTACTAAGGCGAGCTGATACCTTTTTCAAATTTCTGGGAATATTCCGTTTTGGAGGCAGGCATTTTACATGTTTAGAAGCACATGAGGGCGTTCTGTGGCGAATATTTTTAGAACCTCTGCTGGAATGCCTTCTGGGCCTGGTGCTTTCTGGCCTTTACTCTACCAGTGCCAGACTTGAGCTCTTCTGCGGTGAATGGTGGTATTTCTTGAGGAGTTATGATAGGCTCCATTTCTTTAGTTAATGCCTCATGCGTGGGAAAGAGTTCGCTTACTATGTAGTCCATTTTTTCAATGCTTAGCACCGGTGGTATTGCTATGGCCCCAAGTTTTTTCATTACCACCTTATATCCGAGACCCCAGGGACTCAGGTGGAGGCCCGTTCGTCTGAGTTGAGCTATGTTTTCCGTTCACCAATATGCAGGTCTTTTGTGTTGATTGCTTCCGGTTTTTGGCATCGCTTTTTACTGCCGTTGGAGAGCATTTTCAATGTAGCCTCTACTATTTACATTGCGTTCTTGTAAGAATCTATTTCAGATAGTAGTGCTTCGCTATTTAAGTCCGAGACATTCCATTTGCGAGTACTACATTGCATCTACTTCGTAAACCATCGTTTTTGGAGTCTATTATAAAAGAGATATATTGGTGATCACTACCAGTGTAATATTCCAATACTTTCCATTCCTTTATGGTGCCTTCTATACCTTCTGTTGCTAGTGTGATGTTTGGCGTGGTTTCCTCGCATCCTGGTCATAGGAAGGTTGTTGCTGTGCCGGTATTGACCACTATAAATCCGAGTCGGGCTGACGTTTTTAGAACGCATTTGCCTCTGGCGCCCGTGTTTGGCATCCTCCGTGGCCCTTGAGTTTAAGTCTCCTGCCATCATAAAAAAATTGGGAGTGGGGGGAGGGGGGGGGGGGGGGGGGGGGGCACCTCAAAAGAGGGGGCTCAAGGTATGTTTTTCGCCCTGGCTCTTTTTTTTTCACATGTTTTT